GTCCCCCGAAAAAACACCCCCCAGGGAGGTCATCCACCCAAAATTTATTTTTTTTTTTTTTGTTTTTTTTTTTTTTAAGTGGGCACCTCTGGCTTACTTTGTGTAATATTCAAGATAAGACATGACCAAAAGAAAAAAAAAACTTTTTAACAAACCTATTAGTTTACTTTTTGAAAGTAAACTCTGTACACTACTGTTCAAATAAATTAAATAATAAATTAATACTTTTATTCTGCAAGGATGCATCAGATTGATCAGAAGTGACAGTAAAGACACTGATAATGTTACAAAAGATTTCTATTTCAAATAAAGAAAATGTTTTACACTTCATATATTTAATATAAATATATGTTTTATACACTTAACATTTATTTAGTAATTAAATACATATGCATATTAAATATGCATTAAATTGATCAAAAGTGACAGTAAAAACATTTACAATGTTACAAAAGATTTCTATTTCAAATAAATGCTGTATAATTATTTAAAAAGGTTTTAAAAAATCGAATAAATCACAATATAAAGCAAGGAAAATTACAATTGTGCAACTTTTTTTGGAAGTACTCAAATCTGAGTGGGCACAACACTTTTTGCTGATTTAACACCTCTGTGTTTGTTTCACCTTTAGAGACGTTGATGAACTCATCCGCCCTGGCAGAGAATGTCAGTTTCTCTGGGAACATCACAGACAGTCGAAATGACTCGGATGTGTCACCTGTGAATAATGAGACAGCAGTTACCACGGTAAAACCAACTACACTCCTGCCATCAACGACCCATGAGCCCACAAGCAGCATCCACACCAGCACGCGAGCTCCAGCCGCGAGCAGCCCAGAATCAACGAGCGCTCGCAGCAAACAGAAATCCACTCCACCAGCATCATCACTCAGTACTGCCGCCGCCCCAGCGCTCACCACGCAGATGACAGCGATGAAAGCCCACGGCGACACCCCCTCAGCTCTGAACGTCGGAGACCACGGTACGTGAAAACACAGACTAATCCAGCATTTCATTAGTCTTCTTGATCAGTATTTCATCTGGTTTTCCAGTCAAAAATACATCTTTAAACCAACATAATATCCTAGCTTCAAGTAAATAAGACTTTTTTTCAGCAAATGTTTTAACCCTTAACGCATTTAATATTAACTATATTAAAATGTATATGTAATGTAAATATGTAACTATATTAAACATTTAAATATACTATATTGGTACTTTTCAGTAGAATTCTTTATTCTTATGGTATTAAATATATATTACACATACACTTAAATACAATGTATTTAATTACCATAAACCATACTCATCAGTACTTTTCAGTATGAATTCTGAATTCTTAATATTAAATATATATTACACATATACTTAATATTTATGTATTTATTTATATTCATCAGTACTTTTCAGTATGAATCCTTAATATTTAATATACTGTATATTACACTTAATATATTTAAATACACTTAAATATAATGTATTTAATAAACAGTACTTTTTCGGTATAAATTCTCAATTCGGTAACACTTTATTTTAAGGTGTCCTTGTTACACGTTACATGTACTTACAATTGTAATAACGATTAATTATGCATAATTACATGCAAGTAACCCTAAGCCAAACCCTAATCCTAACCATATAGTAAGTACATGTAGTTAATTACTATTACATAGTACTTAAATGTATAAGTACATGCACTGTAACAAGGACACCTTAACAAAGTGCAACCCTCAATTATTATTATTAAATATATATTAAACTTATGTTTAAATACACTTAAATATGTATTACTATAAACTATATTCACAAGTGCTTTTTAGTATGCATTCTGAATTCTCAATATTAAATATATTTGACACTTAATACATTTAAATTCACTTAAATATAATGTATTTATTATAAACTGTACTTATCAGTACTTTTCAGTATAAATTCTGAATTCTTAATGTTAAAAAATACTTTACACTTAATATATTTAAATACACATATATAATGTATTTAGGAAACAACATTTGTCAGAACTTTTTGGTATAAATTCTGAATTTAAGTTTAATAAAAAATATATTAAATATTTAATTCAACTTAAATATTATGCATTTAATGATTACAAACTATATTTACCATTTCAGTATAAATGTTTTCTTTTTATTTAGTTTTTAATTTAAAGTATGTATTAAACTTGATATTTAGTAATATATAATAAACTTAAATCTATTTTTAATTATATTTCTCAGTACTTTTCAATATGAATACTGTATTTATATTTAATTACTGTAGCATCATCCACATTAAAATGGCTGTGTAATTATGACCTGACTGACTGATTTTGACAAAAGCATTGCTTTCTGCTGGAGACCTCTGCTGCTGATTTGCGCAGAAAGCCTGTCTTCTTTCAATGCGGACATGATTTATTGCTGCGATTATCAAACATCAAGTGATTATTCATTTGGTTGATGCTTTTGTGAGCGAATGCAGCTGCACGCACAAATATTTACAGTGCACATCTGCATTTTTGTTTGCCATAACGGCGAGCAAAAGAAATCCTCATAAACTGGATATGAATAGAGGTCTAACAGCAGAGAGGCTGATAACAGAGCATGTGGAAAACAAGAACGTCATTATACGTGTAGAGGAACGGCGAGCTGTGAGGGACGTCTTCACGCTGACACAACCGAAGAACAGACGCATCTTTGTGGATTCGCCAGGCTTTTGCGTCTCTGCAGAAACACTCAAGCACACAAACACACACTATTTACATATTTTCCAGAAAGTGTGCTAGTATTATTCTCTCTCTTTCTCTGTTTTGGTTCTTCTAGACAATAGCAAAGTGTCCACTGACCCGCTGCTTGCTGGACTGGTGTCAGCGTTCGTCGTCGTCGCTGCCATCGTGTCGGTCCTCGTATTCCTCAAATTCAGACACACAAGTGACGGTCCAGAGTTTCGCAGACTTCAAGATCTCCCCATGGTGAGACCTCAGCTTCCACAAATCATTTTAAAACAAACACATACTAGCTCAATACATTTCTAAGCAATCAGCCATGTGACAAACATTCAACACTGACAGTTAAAGTATCATTCTCAGGAAACCATTTAGAGGCCGTGTATACAAATGATATTGCTATTTTTCTTTTTTTTTCACATTTCATTTAAAGGGGTCATACGACGTTGCTAAAAAGAACATTATTTTGTGCATTTGGTGTAATGCAATGTGCTTAAGCAGTTTAAGGAAAAAAAAACATTATTTTCCACATACTGTACATTGTTGTTGCTCCTCCTTACAGGCAAGTCTTGCAGGAGAAAGTCATTGATGCACATGCAGTATAGCTCACAAATTACAGCGTTTCCTGAGAACGACTCACTGACATCTGTGTGTTTCAGGATGATATGCTGGAGGACGCACCTCTCTCCATGTACAGCTACTGAAAACCCAGATGTTCCTCAGACATCTTCAGAGCGCCCAACATCCTCTGATCAACACAACACACACAGACACAATTAAATGGCTGATGTGCTTCATAGAGGCACAAACACTTCTGTTCTGTTACAGGACTAAATGTGGCGTAATACTCCACTTTAGTTGTTAAATTCACCGTGGCCGTCAGTTCCTGTTTGTTGGGAAGTTTTCTTGCACTTTACGTGGGGTTTGGAAGGGCGGTGTGCTGCGGGAATATTTGGGAGTAGAATGTAGAAACAATTTTGGATGCCCTGAGGGTGAGTTTTTGGTGAATTATTCCTTGAAAGAAATGTTCCAAGTTCAATACAAGTTGTCGATCACCACACAAAATTTCAATCTCTATCTCAGTCAGCAACAATCATGTTTACAGTAATGCACTTATAGTGCAAGTCTGTGGGGTACCAGAATAAACAATAAAAAGCATTTTCTACAGTACAGCCAACATGACACTAATGTGATAATAGTCTACTAAGCTTATCTGTAGGAAGTTTTATTCAGTTTTCCAACTCCTGTAAAGCTGCTAAACCCTGTAACTTAGAGACCTTCTATAGTAAGTGCATTACTGTAAACTGATTTTTGCTTGTTTTTACAAACTGAGGGATGAAATTGAACCTTTTTTAAACCTGAAGCATCCCGTCAATACTGTATGAACGAGGAACGATTTCCAAGTGTTCATTTCACTTCATTCTGTTTAGTTCCCAAGGACACTTCCACCCGTGAGAAACAGCATTTTTGTCAGTTTTATAGATGTTCAGTTAACATCAAATGAAAATTTGGAATTGTTTACATAATTTGGAATGTCATCAAATAGATAAAACAACATTGAAAATGCAACTGACTCTTGGCTCATGATGTTACAAAATTCAACTGTTTTTAAAAATCCATTTGTGTGCACTTTGACAAAAACAGTAAAAAAAAAAACAGACATTAATCAATACATAGCCATAATTTTAATGCTATTCTTGTGCCTGAAATGTTTTATAAAAACTGAGAAAAAAATTAACAAAATGTAGCTATAGACTCAACATCCAATATTGTTTTAATTGATTGATGAACCAGTCAATAATACAGTATTTTCATCTTTGTGGTTTGATGGCTGATGGATGTGTGATGTTTACTTTGTGTAATAACATGTGAGAGTGGATTTAAAGTGTTTCTTATTACACATTGTTCTTTTAATTAATAAAAGTCTTTAAAATACACTAAATTGTCACTTTTTGAAATTTGACTCACACCACTTGGCACGCAAGTTATGAAATGCTACCATTATTGAGACTTATTTTAAGTGGTAAAAAGGTGACTGTTTTTCTTTGTTCAAAAAATTTGAAGTCAACGTGAAATCAAAACTATTTACTTTCTTAATTCACATTTGTGACCCTGGACCACAAAACCAGTCTTAAGTGACAATTTTTCTAAATTGAGGTTTATACATCATCTGAAAGCTGAATAAATAAGCTTTCCATTGATGTATGGTTTGTTAGGATAGGACAAAATCTGGAATCTGAGGGTGCAAAAAAAATCTAAATATTGAGAAAATCGCCTTTAAAGTTACCCAAGTGAAGTCCTTAGCAATGCATATTACTAATCAAAAATTAAGTTTTGATATATTTACGGTAGGAAATTTACAAAATATCTTCATGGAACAAGATCTTTACTTAATATCCTAATGATTTTTGGCATAAAAGAAAAATCGATAATTTTGACCCATACAATGTATTTTTGGCTTATTGCTACAAATATACCCCAGCGACTTAAGATTGCTTTTGTGGTCCAGGGTCGCATTTCTGGTCTTACTGTGAACAAATCAATGCACGTTAAAAATATAACAAGCATTTTTGCAAACATGCTCCAAATACTGACTGCAAATACATTTAAAACATGTACACAAGCCCGAGTCAAACTCTTTTTGACTAAATGGATGTTATGCTTTGCATGTTCATATTGAAAACACTCTTTTTGCATAATTTCAAAAGCTGTTTTGCCACTTACATTGGTAGCTAATACCTCAGAGTATGTCAGTGCAATACTTGCAAAGCAAGACTATCTCTATCTAATGTGTGTCAGTCATAAAAAATACTGCAAAAACTCTGTGCCCATGGACTTGATTTTACATGAACGTAGATCAATTATAGCATAAATAGCACAGTTCAAGCCATAATGACACAAGTAAACTGTCCGTTACACTCTTTAAACCTACTTGCGTCAACATTAGATAGAGGTTTTCATTTCCATCTGTGACACCATGTGTGTGCGGTACGAGTCTGTGAAACTCTCTAACGTCTGCAGAATACAAACCTCACATGAGTGTGAACTGAACCAAAACAGCACACTGAACATGCCACTGAAACTACACAGCAAAAACATTAATTCTTATGTAAACGACTTTTGCATATTAAGCACCATGACCCGAGTGTGTTCACAAACGTTAGCCAATCATAACAGAAGTAATTTACATACAGAAGTCAATTTAAATGCACATTAAAGGTACAGTAGCAAAAACAGCCTGTCTGAGAATCAAAGAAACCTCGAGTAACTTGGAGAGAGAAAAAAAAACACCCCTTTAAGATAAATAAAGGATGTGAAAATGCAAAGGTTTTGCCATGTTTTTGAAAGAAGTCTCTTCTGCTCACCAAGGTTGCATTTATTTGATACAGTAATAACGTGAAATATTATTACAATATAAAATAAGCATTTTCTACTTGAATATATGTTAAGATGTAATTTATTTCTGTGATCAAAGCTGAATTTTCAGCATCATTCCTCCAGTCTTCAGTGTCACATGATTCTGCAGAAATCATTCTGATATGCTGTTTTGCTGCTCAAGAAACATTTCTTATTGTTATCAGTGTTGAAAACAGTTGTGCTGCTTAATGCATGCTTGTTGAATAACATTATTAACTGCTTTCATCCTGACCCCAAACTTTTGAGCGATAGTGTACATATATGAGCGTGTGTGTAATTTCTTTACTTTAGAGCTGCGTTCATACTGTCTCCTTGTTTCTCTGGCCTCTGACTGGAGCTGGAACATATCTATCTTCCTCCTGTACTACAGAAACACAACTAGTTTGCTTTTTTAACACTTATGAACACGGTATAAATGTAACCAGAGTCTGAATGTCTATCAATATTGAAGGCATTATGAATGTGAAGCCAACACAAACACAAGCAGTATCTGAGTGGGATGTTTATTTGTGTGACAGTGAAAGCAGCGCATCGGTTGTGCATGTTTATTTTGACACAAAGTATATTTGCTCTGGCAGAGAGCCCTGACTGTAATAACACAACACTGAAAGAGCTTGATTTATGCGTCTAACGCTATAGTTTATATATCTAATGTAAGTCAGTTCATCCATCTATGGCCTCAAAGATGAAAAGTGACTAGTTTACGACCTACTGAGTTTGTTTTTGAGAATGTCCACCTCTCTCCTGAGCTGCTCCAGTTCTTCTCTGCGGAGTTTAGAGCTGAAACTGTGGACAGACGAAGATCATTATAAACCAGGGCTCTTCAACTCGGCTCCTGGAGGGCCGGTGTCCTGCAGAGTTCAGCTCCAACCCTAATCATACACACCTGACAAGCTAATCAAAGTATTCAAGACTATTTAAAAATGATGAACAGGTGTGTTGGATAAGGGTTGGAAGTAAACTATGCAGATCACCGGCCCTCCAGGACCGGAGTTGACTAGCCCTGTTATAAACCATAAATGTCTGTGATTCTCAACTACTACATGCACTGCAGCTAAACTGCTTCTTTTACACTAGTCTAGTGGAAGTATACCACATTTACTTTCTTAATGGGCATTTCAATAGAATGAATACTTATAGTGACGATAAAAAAAAAAATGTAAAAAAGTAAATTGTGGATATTAAGGTCATTTTATGCTAAAAACTATTTACATTTTTTATTTTAATTTGGTCAGTTCCGTTGTCTCAAAACTCAAAACTTCTCCAGTCCCTCAAAATGACTAAATAAGGATTTTAAAAATTATTTTATGGCAATTTAATTCCCAAACAGGGTTATTATCATTAACTAAAAATATTAAAACACTTTTCATAATTGAAATAAAGCTGAAATAAAATAAATGATAAATAATAGATGAAAAACTTAAGACAAAAATTTGAAACTTAACTTATTAAATGGAATTAAATATTAAAAACTAGAATATTTTTATATAAAATTTGGAAATCATGGATATTAGGGTGTTTTTAAGCCTCTTTTAATTTGGTCAGTTCCTTTGCCGCCGGCCGCTCCTTCGTCGAATCCGCCGGCCGCGCCGTTCTCAAGCTTGCCGCCTCAGCTCACTCTAGCCGGCCTCTGCTCATTCTAGGCCGCCGTATGTTTTTGTGAAAGCGAAACTACTTTGTTTGTTCTTCCAAAAGAGGACACGACTAGAAATCAGTGGTTAAGTTGTATTTACAACACTGTTCCAGAACACTTCAACCCAAATATCCAGATGTGTGCAGCACATTTTATGGAGGACTGTTTCCTGATCCTGGGAGAGTAGACTACAATGCTGGCTGTTCTGACTCACAGACTGTAAGTACATTTTCATATTTAAAGGATTTGCCACTGATTTCATTACACCAAATACACAAAATAATGTTCTTTTTAGCAACATCATATGACCCCTTTAAATCTTTATTTAATTGAAACACTGGAATAAAATAAAATATAAATATAAGATGAAATACTTATACTAAATGAAAATTAGAACTGAAATAAGTTTAGCCTCACGCACCATAATTATTTACTGGAAATATATAAAATCTAAAACCAAAACTGAAATAAAAATAAATTAAACCTAAATAGCAATTAAAAAATAAAAATGACAAAAGAACATTTTTACAATAAAATTACTTAAAATAAAAATATAAAGAGCTAATTAATAAAAGAAAAAAAAACTACAACAGTATATAAATATACTAAAACAAGATTACTCCCAAACAGAATATGTAGTATTTTAATATTTTGACCATAAAATTTCAATTAAAATTTCCAAGACTTCTGTAGGCCTGGAAGGTATTTTATGAATGTATTTAACTTCCCTTTTATTTCCAGATTAGGACCAGAAAACAATAACACAGAACATCCCCATCTGCCAACATTTCCATTAATGGACTTAATAATCATTTAAAAACGAGTTTACCTGCTGTTTCTCTGGGAGATCTTCCATGTGCAGTACGACGTTCCTGGTAAGACATATTATTAATAACTTTGTATTAATCTTAATACAAAAGTAAGTCAGTCATGCAGGTGCAGAATAACACGAGTGTGAGTAAACAATGACAACATTTAATCTTTGAGTGAACTGACGCCTTTCTTTCATCTGCCAGACATAAAGAGCGCACTCTAGCGGCTAGCATCTACAACACACTACACTGACACACAAAATTAAAATATCTTGAACTGAAACAGTATCTTACCCTCATTTTTGCGACGCTTTCATCAGCCTCGGAGATGATGGAGCGCAACTGCTGATCCAGTTCATCCTGAGCGACCGATAATCAACTTCTCGATTATTAAAATGCGAGCCTAAACCCTGCCTGCGGTATGAATACACATAAAGCCCGCGGGAATTATGATGACAGGTGAGGTAACAGCGACAGCTGACAGCTGATATAATAATGCAGAGGTGTTTCGGCTTTAGTTAACAAACGACTGAAATAACGCTTCAAAACACAGAGACCGGTAACTTCAGAGAAACCTCATGCACGCATGTCCTGTCATGGAAATTCTCATTAAAAGTGTTGTTTTGTGTCTAAAATCGTCTTTTCATGGGAGCAGTGACCATTTCAGTTTAAATCCAGGAGCCACTTCCGGCACAACAGATGGATTATGGGAAATGTAGTTAATCTTGTTTAATGGCCGCTCACTCCTTAGGAGTAGTAGGCCTAGTAGTAAGCATTATGGAGAGAAAAAAAGA